AAAACTGCTTTTAGCAGTGTTTCCTTCCCACCAGGGGATAACAGTAAGCTTTTCCAAGATTCACTTTTCCCTTCCATCCGTTGGAGGAGAAATCTGAACGTTTCGGCCTTCGATCTTCCCCATTCAGTGGGTACTCCAAGATATTTGGAGTGGCAGTTCGTGTCCGCAAAGCCAATGTTTGTAATGATGCTTTCTTGTTCCTCCAGGCTAACATTACTGCTGAAGAAGGTGGACGACTTCTCCTTGTTAATCTCTTGCCCCGTAATCGCCCCATACTTTTGAATAATATCCAGAATACTATCCGCTTCCGCAATTGATGCTTCTCCAAAAATAACTGTATCATCCGCAAAAAGGCAATGAGTGAGATTAGGGCAGTTTCGGTTGAGCTTCAGTCCTCTGATTGCCTTACAGGAAGCTGCTTTTTCAATGAGGAAAGAGAGTGCGTTCGACATTAAGATGAACAGTAGTGGCGATAAGGGGTCTCCTTGTCGAATCCCTCGAGACGGTGAGAAGACAGAGGAGGGCTCTCCATTAATCAGGATCTGGAACCGAACAGAACTAATGCACTCTTTGACCCATCCACACCATTCTTCATTGAACCCATAAGCACGAAGAAGCTCAATCAGGAAATCCCACTCGACCAGATCATACGCTTTCTTCATATCTAACTTCAGCATCATGTCCTTTCGCTTTCCTGTCTTATGTTTCTTGAAATGATTTAGTACTTCGTGCACAATAATAATGTTGTCTTGAATGAGTCTTCCTCCGGTAAAGGCAGCCTGTAAATCATTGACCAGAGAGGGGAGGAAAGGCTGGAGTCTGGTCGTCATGATTTTTGTGATCACTTTATACCTGAAATTGCAGCAACTGATAGGCCTGTATTGTCCAATCTTGTCCGGATTGTCAATTTTGGGGATGAGGGTAATAAAGGTGTCATTCCACCCTTCGGCCATCTCATTGGTCCTGAAGAAGTCACGAATTTCATCACACAGCCTGTTACCCAAAGAAAGCCAAAACTTGCGGAAGAAGTAACCCGGGAACCCATCAGGTCCTGGGGCTTTATTTGCTCCGAGTTGGAACACTGCCTTCCGGATTTCATCATTAGAAAACGGTGCCGTTAGCAGGGTGTTATCTTCACTTGTTACAATCTGGGGGAACCCATCGAGTAATCCGGGGTCAAAGGTACCTCCTCTTGTGGTAAACAAACACTGATAAAAGGAGTTAATGTGATTTTCAACTTCCTGTTTGTCGTCAATCCAGACATTCTGGGCTGTCTTGATTTTGTTAATGCTATTTGCATTTTTCCTTTTGACTGTGGAAGCATGGAAGAAGCCAGTGTTCTGATCTCCTTCTTGTAGCCACGAGTTTCTGGATCTCTGTGCCCAGAATTCTTCCTCCTCCTTCCAAACCATTTGTAGTTCAAGATGTAGAGCCTCCTCTTCCATTTTCATCGAGGGAGTGCGGTGTGGTCCTTGAAGCTGCTGGAGCCTGTATTTAATCTCATTCTCTCTGAGGAACTTCGCCGTTCTGTCCATTTTTGCCCAGGCAGAGAGTTTCTCTTTGCAGTCAATAAGGGTCTTGTAAATCGGCTCCCCTGCATTCCACAATTCCTGAACCAGCTCAACACAGTCCTCATTATTGTTCCATCTCTTGTCGAACCTGAAGGGGATGTTCCTCCTAGCCATTTTAGGATTCAGATCAACCCTAATTGGACAGTGATCTGACTCAACGAATTCTTCATGGAACACCGCCGCTGCATCAAACTCCACCCTCCAGGCAGGAGAGCACAATCCTCGGTCCAAACGTTCTCTGATCAGTCTCTCCCCTTGTTGTTTGTTGGTCCAGGTTAGAGGGTAGCCAAAGAAGCCAAGATCAATGAGGGCATTTTGCTCGATGAAGTACTTGAAGGGGTTGACGTTTTCATTACGGATGGGGCATCTCCCTTCTTTCTCCGACGGATACAAAGAAACATTGAAATCACCAACAAGCAACCACTTTTCATCCTGGTTCTCTCTAAGTGCAGTAATTCTTTCCCAGAGAGCCCGTCTCTCTACCACCGTGGTAGGAGCATGGACGAAAGTGCAAAAGAAACTAACCCCTTCCCTACTGACCTTAACATCCATAAAAGATTTACATGACTCTAACACACTAACTTGAACATCATCCTTCCACCACAGCGCCAGTCCGCTGCCTTCAACTGCTGGGCTCACATAGTCCGAGTGATCAAACTTCAACAATCTCTTTTGGTCTTCTAGAAAGGAGTTATCCTTCTTAGTCTCCATCAAGAAAATCATTGAAGGGCCATACTTTCGACAAAATCTGCCGCAATAGCTTCTTGTAAGGGGTTGGCCAAACCCCCTACAATTCCAACTTATTAGTCTCATTCTTGGTGAGGCGGCTTGAGGCTCGCCGCCGCTTCCTTTGGTGTGTTTGACTCTCCCTCACCGGATTGTTCCCCATCTGCATTAATCGCTGCTATGCTCCTTCTCCTTATAATGCTCCTCCTTCTCTGGTACGTCTTGTTCTTTTCACCTGGAGAGAAAGACAAAGAATGAATAGGGATGTTAGTGGGTGTTCCCATCAGCGGGAGGGAGTAAGTGGGTGACTCCCTCTCCGGTTTTCTTTTCTTCTCCGGCCTTGGTCGAAATTCCTCCGCCATTTGGGTTGCAGGGCCTTGCAGGACCAGAATTGGGCTCTGGTTGTTTTGTTCGAATTGGGCTGGTGCAGGTTGCTCCTCGGTTTGGGCTTGGCCTCCATGGGACTGGGAATAGAATGGGCTCGCAAGGGACAGCAACTGGCCCATCTCGAGCAGGCCCGCCTGCTTGCTTCTTTCGGCCTGTCCTCCAGTTAGGTCTAAGCTCCGCTGCATAGCTATGGTGGCTGCTTCCATCTCCTGCTCCATATATCTAGTTTGCAGAGTCAGAGTTGGGTTCCTCCCATCTCCCCGTTGGATCCACTCCGTACTCCTCATCGCGGCCGTTGCTTCGTTCTCCAGGGCTGCGAATCCCGGTGGGCAGGACGAAGATCCCTGATCCGTGCGCCCCACCATTGACATCAGAGCAGAACCTCCTGACGACTCACGCAGGCGGTGGGTCCTAGGTTCAACTATGCCCCTTCTTCTCTCTCTTGCTTGTTTCTCCCTGAAGGACGCCGGCGGGGTGTTGGCCGGCGAATCATGCCCTGCCCTTAGAGCTGTTGTATAGACTTTCGATGGTTCGGTGCTTAACCCTTTCCTGCGGCACTCCTCTCTTTCCAAGCAGTTGTGGATCAGATGACCGAGTTTCCCACAAAAATAACAGAGGTCGATGATCCTCTCGTATTTGAAGCTCACCCAAATCGATCGTTCCCCCAGGGGGTATTCAAAGCCGATCGGGATTGGTTTGTCGAGCTCCACTTCGACTTTTACCCTGATGAACTTGAGCCAGCCACGAAAGTCGAAGCTGGACTGGTCAATCCCATAGTAATGTGGGAAGATGAAACGCGCCACTGCTTGGATGGATTCCTCATCCTTGAGGGATTGGGGGAGGTCATGCATCTGGACCCAGAGAGTGACTGTCTGGATATCAGTCTCCTCGGCCTTTTGTTCTCCGTCCCATTTCTTCAAGGCGATCAGCGTGTTGCCGAGGTTCCAAGGGCGCGCCTCATAAACTGCATCTCTTTGTTTCTCGGACTGGAAGGAGTAGACGAAGAGGTTGTCCATCTCCTTAGTGGTCTGAATTTCTCCATAAGCCCTCCATTTGCTGGCAGCTGTGTTCCTAGCCTTCTGGATGTTGATGTTGGCATCAGTAATCCATTTGCACAGTAGCATGGCTATGCCACTGCCCCTGACCCCTGTGACTGTGGGACGGACATTGAGCACAAGGTGGCTCCTTTCTCCCCTCAGACTCTGGGTGTTGGGTTCCATTACTCTCTGTGGATGGGGGGGTAAAATGTTTCCTCTGATTGTAGTGTTTTCGTTGCTTTTGGTGAACTGGGAGCTCATTCGTTTCTGGTGAGTAGATTGGAAGTGGTTTGCATGCTTGAGAGCCTGGAAGTTTAAATAGGCCTTCATCTCCACCTGTAATCTCTCCCCTTCGTCTGTTCTGGCATTTAAGATTAGGAGCATTGAATGGGTTAGTTGGCTGCCTGGTTCTAAATCTAGGCTCCTCCAAACCTTTCCTCTTCCTTGCCATTTAAGTGATCTGTGCTCCTCTGGTTTGGTGGCGTGGTGTAGCTTCTGTGAGTTCCTTGACATTAAGATCATGTCAGCCCTCTGCCAGTTGTGTTTCGCTCTATTGGCTTTTGTTCTGATCCCTTTTGCTTGTACCTTGAGGTAGTTCTTCTGACTGCCTTTAATGCTTAGGGTGTTATTGCTGATTGTTCCCCTCTTAATGGCCCGGATCCGTTTGCTGCGCGTGTAAGCAAAATCTTCTTTGTTCCTTTCCTCCTGCTGATCTTCATAACTCCTCCCTCTTCCCGATACTGCTAGTTCACTGATAGCTCCCATGCATCCTTCTTTAAGTGTTTCTCCCCTGGGTTGGAGATCTTCATTTATTTCAGGTGGCTTAGGGGGCGGTGGTGTTGGCATCCACTGCAGAGTCAGCTCTTTAATGCATATCCATAGGTCTGCTCCATCTCTCGATCTGGATTCGTCCTTCTTGTGCCTACTCTCTTCATGGCCTGTCCGGTTGATCCTACTGCTCTTAATGCAAGATTTGGCTACTGAGTGCCGGTTCTGATTTCTGAACGCTCCGTTTCCGGCAGCTGGAGAAGGATAGAAGAAAAAAATACAGTTGGTTGAGGAGAGAGGGGAGAGCATTTTTTTTTTTTTTAATAACTGGGTTATTCATTGGGGAGTTGTTGAGAGATTTGTTTATTTGTTTAAGCTCCTTTCACAAAGAATTGGGTGGCCCTGAATAAACTAATAAAACAAGTGGAGGAGAGAATAAACAGGAAACCAGATTTAGTAGTCAGCTACACCAGGATTAAGACTTGTTGTATCAAGATGCCTTTCCCCATCTCTCATTTCCATGGCCAACACAACTGAAAATCAATGCTACATTCATATCTCATTATTCATTGTTCTCAAAGCTACTGCAAAAACAGGTGTTCTCCGTACAAAAATCCCACTTAAATCCATTGAGGATGCATTTCAGAAAGGCAACTACAGAGCTCAACAAATTATAGTGCCAAAAATAATGCAGAGTGATGAGAGAGGGCTTCATAGCCACTTCTCTAACCCATCTATCTGCTGAAAGTTCTCAACACATCAGCATGTTGCTGCAAAACTCACATTGTCTGCTACAAAACTCGCGAGGATAAGATTGAGATGCATACTGATCCCCCATTGCTGGAAAACAGAATTCTGTTCTTAAATACACATAATAGATGATTTTTTATGTATCCTCTCTAGAAAATGTCTCCATGGAAGCTCGACTTAGGAGAGTAGTTCTGTGAGGAGTTATCATCAAGTCTGTCGCTATCATCCTCACCAAGAATTTCCTCCGAGCGGCAATCACAACTGCAAAATGCTTTCTCGCCTCTACAATACACCAGAATTTCACAGCCAAAAGTTTTAGTCTTTGAGATAGAAATTCTATCAAGCAGCAAGTTAGTTAGCTACACACATTTACCTGTACATATAGGTGTGATCTCCATTGTCCAGCTTTTTCTTGCAAGAGTAACAGCAACTCAAAAACTCTTCAGAGGGTAAACCTTCCTCAGGGCACTTAGCCTCTTGAGGAAGCATTTCAAACCCAATAGTAGTCTTACTCTGGTCAAAATTGGTCAACTCACTACTAGCATGACATGGTAAAATGCAGTCACCAAAAATATGAGTTGTTTTAGGGCATGGGCCATGGGAAATTATACAAGTATAGTCTTCAGAAAGCTCGATCTCATGCGAACTGATCAGTATTGGTACAGAAGTCGGCTTGATGTTCAAGGAATGGTGCTTCTTCAAACTTTTACTCACAACCACGGGCAAACTTGGTATAGAACTGGACCTATTTGCTGACAGACATGCTTTTTTCAGACCAAAACTTGGTATTCTTGTCAAGCTACTCAGAGAAGAAGACTCTTCAAATTCCATAGACTCTAATGGGACCACTTCCTCTTCTCCAGTTTGAGATGGTAGTGAGATGACATAGTTTTTAGGCAAAGAATTGGATCTCAAGGAATCATGACCAAGTTTGATCTGTGATCCAAAGATCACATTCTTCCTCTTGGGGGATTTAAGAACTTCCTCACTTTGTTGGGTCTCGTCTAAGAGCAACTTGACGAGGCCAAGGCCTACTTTGCGGCCATTCCATTGTGTTTTGTGTTCAACCTTTGATGGCTTTGGGGACTTAAGGCTAAACGGGTTGCTAAGATTGGAGAAGAAACTGAAATCAAGAGGAGATGTAGGGCTTCTAGCAGAGTCAGACTCTGATGAACTTTTCGAACTAAACCCTATAAAGAAACTGGGGAGGTTGAAGAATGAGCTGCTTGGTTTGAGGCCTGGAAGAGATTGGAAATGTGACCCTGAATCAGAAGCAGCCATTAGTACTGTATATGCATACCCGTTTTTATGGCGATTTGCTTCTCATAATGAGTATTGGTAAGAGCTCCTCTATGCCATCCAAACACAACACCAGCCAATTCCCCCACTGCAGTAGTTAAATGCAAATCATACATAAATATGAAGTTCCAATCATCAAAAGCGATATCAAGCCCCTAAAATGTAACCTGAATACTTTAGCAATTAAACGTTGAAGGATGAAAGGAAAGCAAAATATCATTACAAAGCTGTCTTAGCCTTCCATGGAAGTAGATGCGTATCCTCTCACAGAAGAGAGTTCACAGATGATTTCATTGAGCAAATAAACAATCACTTGACTGATCAGGAAAGCCCAAGTAATTCCACAAGACAGTAAGCCAAAAGCAAAGATTCTCTAATCTCTCCTCATGAATACACACTCTCCACAAGAAAAAGAAAATCTCTATTCCCCAATCACTCTAATATCTTTCAATCCTGCATCTGAGAATCAAGGCACTACATACCAGAACTAGGAGGGTAATGGTAAACATTGATCAAATATTTCAAAGTCAAACACCATTTGTATAAGCACAGAAGACCAAGAGCAAATGAAAAGAGATGAAGAAGCAGAATCAAAGATCAACCACCAAAAAGATTGGAAGACTAGAGCAAACTCAAACACAAACCAAGCAGGTATGAAAAATTGAAAGCTCTATAATGGAGGGGGGGAAATTCAAACAAGAGCGACATATGACTTTATCTGCAAGAAGGGTCCATCAGATTAGCGACCGATCAATGTTTTTCAGCCAACAGATTCAACACAGAGAATCGAACAGGCAGCTCAAAGAACACTGAAACGAACCGACAAAACCCCGAAACGAAAGCCAAGCTGGAGTCCAATCTAAGAACACAAACTTTACAGATATCAGAGAAGCAATCCATCGCTAGACAGAAACAGAGAAGAAAGCAAAATCAAGTGAAGGAGTGAACTCAGAAAACCCACCTGGGTTTCCGCCAAAAAAAACTTGAAACTAGCAGGGAGCAAAGAATGCTAGCTGAAAGACAGAGTCTCTGCGAGAAGCGAAGAGCCTTATAATGGCCATTACCGAGAGCACAGCTCTTTCATTTCTTTCTTCCTCCATGATTTCTTTTCCTCCATATCTGGTCCTTCCAATTGGATCAACTCAGAGAAGGGGTGAGAGCCACTAAAAACTAAAACTAAAAAGGCCGCTGATATACTCTCTCTCTCTCTCACTCATGATTAGCAACAAAAATACGTATGGCGGACAGAGAATCGTATTAGAATACGTATACTTTCCTTTGAGCTGAACGTATTTTTTTGTTTTGGAGTTTAGTGAAAATAATAGTGGTACCGCTGGCCGTTGCCCGCCCCTTCCCGTTTTCTTTTCTCGGGTCATTGATGTTTCAGCCCATTTTACTTTGCTGTTCTTCAATTTTTTTTGCAGGACAAACTTTTATTTATTTATAATTTTATGTTAAACAAATGCGCATCCCTGTCACAAGTTTATATTTTTCATCCAGTAATAACAAAGATGTTGATTTGGAATTGAAAATTTTTCTAAATTATTTTTTATGTATTATCCTCTTCTTGATGGAAATTGTATTCTTTTTCATAGAAAGTATATTATCGTCCAATACGTAAAGAGATAATAAAAGTGAGGCATTTTAGTATGCTATATAGTACCCATGCTTTAATATACTTAGAGCCATTAGATCTTGTTATAAAATATCAGCCATTGGATTGAAGTTATTTAATTATTATTATTTTCATTTGTTGGACTGGTAACCTGTTGCACCGGTTCGTTACACAATAATTTAAAAAAAATTGAAATCCAGTCGGGCGACTGTAAAGGCCACCTTCGATCGGAATTCAGAGCTTCTCACCTCTTATCACCGCTGTCTACTCTTCCTTCGATCCTCTCCACGCAGCTAGCGAGCCGGATTCCGACGACGACAGTGAAGGCGGCGAGCAGTGGGTGACGACGAGTAGAAGAAGCTTGTCGATTGCAACATCTCTTTGACTGCGGCGAGCCGGATTCCGACGACGACAGTGAAGGCGGCGAGCAGGGGACGACGAGAGCGAGCATCTCTTCGTCAATTGCAAACGAAGACCCTCTTCCCATCGATAGCAAACGAAGACCCTGCACAGAACCCCCTCTTCCCATCGATAGCAAACGAAGACCTACCTCCTCCACTGCAACTTTTTCCGGTTAGTATGCCTACAGTTCTACAATTTTATTCAATTTTCGGGTTAGTATGGCTATCAGTTTAGGGATTATATTGGGATGTTCTAGATTTACAAATTTCGGTAGGGGGATTGAAATTCCATGCTCGTTTTACCAGATTGACCTATTTGGGATTGAAATTGAAGCTTCTCCACTGCTTTCTTCATGTGCATTCTCAATTGGATATGGTGATATAAGATGCGATATTCCTTTCCCTCTCTCGGTTTTATCAGTTGTGTGAAGTGGGAATTCTGATGTGCTCCATCTTTTCCAGTGTCTTCTTCTGTGATTTGGTTTGTCTATCTCTTTAGCTTTAACGTCTTGTGCAATGAGTATTGAAGCTCTCTCAAGTGTAGTTCTTGGTTGTGCTGTATTTTGTCACGGCCGAGTTTGATTGAGATGGGGGCATCTTTAGTCATTCCGTGATTGATGAAGCTTCAGAAAGTCTGCACTTTTTTGTGCAAATAGCTGTGGCCATCCACCATATAACTTCATTCCTCACACAGATCGTTGATGTGACCTAGGAGGTATTTGTGAATGGAGGATTCAGTGTCAACTAGGAAGCTGTCTTGGTTTATATAATCCCATAAACTGTGTTGGGGTTGTTCATTTCGTTGTTGCCTTTGCTTTCAAACTGAAGAGAATAACTGTGCTGGGGTTGGTCTGCTTGCTTCTTTAGTTCTTTGGTCTTGATTGGGTTTTAGGGATGTAAGGAATGGGTTTGTAGAGTTTACTTAATAGTCAATTTTTATCTCCCACATCCCACTAGAGTTCGAGTTATTTTCAGGGTTTGTAGTGTCGTTACCGTTGCTTGTTGATTACATTTTGGACTGTTAATTGAAGGGTCTTGCTTGGCTGCATGAAAGGTGCAATTGAGTGTGTTAGTCAAGAACTATTTCATGAAATCAGGGTGACTTCAGTTTTAGCCAGTTTGGATGGAAATAGAGCGAGTGTTTATGGTGGTGTCATGGGTTATGGAAAGCTTAGTGGCTATGCTCGTGGTCATGTTATTTAGCTCTCAAAAGTTGTAAGTTGTGTGTGGTTTCTGGAAATATCACGGCTGTGAGAGAGACCGTGGATGTAATTCTGGAAATATCACGGCTGTGAGATAGGCCGTGAGAGAGACCGTGGTTGTAAAAACGCACTTCTATGTTTCCCAGAGGTTTTCACGGGTTGCCTTCGACAGTATCACGGCCATGCGATGAGCCCTGTTTTTGGATATGGATGATGGACATCTCACGGCCCTTTTGTAAATTCCCACGGGCGTGAGAATAAGCCGTGTGATTGTCTGGAGATATGAAAACTACTCTTTGCTTGTCACGGGTCATGTCACGGCCGTGAGATGAGCCGTGTTTTTTGATATGGATGATGGACATCTCACGGCCCCTTTGTAAATTCCCACGGGCGTGAGAATAAGCCGTGTGATTGTCTGGAGATTGTCTGGAGATATGAAAACTACTCTTTGCTTGTCACGGGTCATGTCACGGCCGCGAGAATTTGCATTTTGGGTGAAATGTAATGAAAGCGGGGTGTTTTGGGTGAAATTTATATATGCCAATGGCGGATTTCATGGTTAATTAGTGTACTCAGTGGCGGAGGCAGGGCCTTTTGGCCTTGTCCCGGGACAGGGGTAAATTTTGGTGGAACAAAAATATGCCATATATATTTATATTGGTGATGGAACATAACACGTATAGGTAGTATTAGAGTACTTTGTCACTACAACACAATTCATTATTTGTCCGAAATTGACATAAAATTAATTTATTATACAATAAAACGAAATTCCAATTGCAATAAAGAACTAATCGGGTCTCTTTTCTCCTTATGCCTATTCGATCTGTCCCCAACAACCCTGAAATTGTCTAGCGACAACGGCAATCCCACTAGTTTTGATTTACCAATTACAACTGCAAGTGTAAAAAGAGCATTTTCAGGTTTGAGTTATATTAAGAACAAGTTTCCAAGTCGATTTGGCGACCAGTTTGCTAATACTTGTTTAGTAAGATACATTGAAAGAGACTTATATAATAGTGTAGACAACGAATGTTTTTGCGCTTCTTTCACTATATGAAATTCTTTCGTAGTTGTTTCTGAAAAGTATGATAGTATAATTGGTTATTTTTAATTTATGAATGAATTATTTGGATATAATTCTTTTTTATTAAATAATTCTTTTATTAGATATTTATATATTTAAGTTATGCAAAAAGGACAGGGGTGGTTTGAAATGCTGGCTCCGCCACTGAGTGTACTCAGGTGTTGATGTAGGGGGTTTTCAGTTCTTCTGGTAGTTAGAACTTGTATTTTGTTTGTACTCTTCGGCATGCTTATAATTCGTGTTTCAAGGCATGCTTATAATTTTTCTGTTGTTTTAATTTTGCAGTTTGCTAAAATTGTTCTATAATGAAGACGAAGAGGCATCAAATTTTCAGCACGCGATGTTCTCCTAGGAAAGTATTCTCACTAGTCTCAAATTTAGAGGCTTGTCAATCAGAGGCCATTAAGAGATGTGGCTTTGGTCGTATTCTTGAAGTCAAAGGAAGAAAGCTACAACGTGAGTTGTTGGAGAAACTTGTGAAGAGCTTTAATCTGGAAGAAAGCACAATTAAGGCGTATGGGTTGGAAGTGCATATTTCGGCCAAAGATTTCGAGCGAATTATGGGCGTGCCTGAGGGAGGTACTGATATCATCTTGAATGGTGAAGAAGTGGAGGGAAGATCAGAGGAACTGGAACCATTTAGAGTGTTTTCGACACGTGATTGTGGCCGACAGGCGATTTCCACAAGCTTAATGCAGAAGGCGTTGTCGAAGATGAAAGATAGCGACGATCTATTTCTTCAAATGTTTATTTTGTACGTAATGGGGGTGCTATTAGTACCAACTAGAAGAGAGGAAATTTCCTTGTCTTCGGTATACGCTGTCACCGATGTTGCAGACATTCCGAAGAAGAATTGGGCATCCTTTTGCTTCAATGAATTGGTCAAATGCATCTGCGACCATAATGCTTATAGGAGAGAGTATATACCGGGTTGCTTGCTGTTTTTGGAGGTAAATAATTGCTAATCCCGACTTTCTACATATTTGTAATGATTAATCATCATGTTGATTATAGTATTTTTTTTTGTAGTTAATATTCTTGGAGCATGCAAATGGTATTTTCCAAACCATTGATGGGAGTTTGGATTTGATGAGTTGGGAGAGCGGAGACATGGAGTTATTGTTAACAAAAGTGGTAAGTTTGATAGTATATTTGATTCTTTTGACAAGTTGGAGCATGCTAATGGTACATTTGGTTCCCTTTTTAATTAATTTATAGGTTTCCAGCAGTTCGGGGAAAAGATCAGCTGAGGATGCCGGTTTGAAATCACCTCCAAGGAAACGGGGAAAAGGAGACGGGAAACAGCACAAACCCGACGGGGATGAGCTGCTTCTCTATGAGCGTATTGATGCTCGGTTTAGTACCATGGAGGGTAGAATTGACAACTTTGGTCAAGAATTTAGAGTGGCAATGGGTGATGCTGCTTCTAGAGATAATGAGCTAATGAGCTGGGTTGTGAAAATGGAGAACGAATTTCGGGCTTTTAGAGACGAAATCGGTACTGCAGTGAAGTCCCTTATAGAGGCAGTGAAAGCAACTGTAGGTGATCCGTTGTCAAGGGAGCAGCCTATGGAACCCATTTCTCCTACAGCTGAGTTGAAAAAGAACGATCAGAAGGGTGAGGTTGAAAAACCTAGGGAACCCATTTCTCCTACCTCGGAATGTGTCAAGACTGCCAAAGTTGAGAATTCGGGAGAAGCTGAGGGGGAAATTGGAGATGACAGATGTTCTAAATCTCCTTCTGTGAAAGTTGTGAAAAAGTCTCCTTGCAAGCAGCCTAAAGCGTCTCAAGTTGAGAAATTCATATTGTTGAGTGATGAAAGTGTTGCTGCTAATGACGGTTGTTCCAAGGCTGTGAAGGTATTTCACTTGATTAAGTTTTCTAATTATTGGTTCTTATGGTGTGGTTACTAATGAACTGGTTTTGTTTTTATGTTTTTGAACAAGAAAGGGGCGAAAGGGAGGTGCACTACGTAGTGTGTCTAAATTGAAGCCTAGTTTGTATGTGGTCTCTCCATTCGAACGGGCAAATCCCAGAGCTATGAAAGCACAACCTTTGTACCGTGCTCCTCCCTTTGTTGTTCAGACACCATTGACTCTGGAGGCAGTGAAGATGATTCAATTTGCTTTTAGTAGTGAGCTTCCCGAAAGGTACCTCCCGAAATCATTACAAGTAAAATTGGATCATATTTGTAGGATGTTTTTGGTATTTGCCTTATTCTAATGTTGTGTTGTTTGAACTTGGTATTGTATAACAGTGACATATTGGTTAGTGTTGGTGGCGGGGTTCTTTCCTTGTTACGTGAAGATTTTGTCGAGCTTTTGCCAAGGACCAAAATTTCAACAAGGGTAAGTTCATTTATGTGTGTAATTTAGTAGATTGAACGTGTATTGCTGACTTTGGTATATGTGATGATGATGCATTAGATTATAGAAATGACGTGTCTGTGCAAGACACTAGAAGAACGAAGTTGTGGTCGTCGTGGTGGCTTGTCTTGGTTCTTTCCACCTTCAGTTTCGGTACAGTTGTCTGCTTTGTCTATTCTTGTCATGAAATTAATCTATTTTTTGTTACATGTAGCTTGTGTGGGTGACTGTGTTTTATTTTTCTAGGATCGTGCGAGTCATTGCAACGAGGAGCAATTTATGGCTAAGATGCGTCCATATAAGATACATGAGCGATACTGTATTGGTGAGCTACTTTACTGCAGTAAGGTATGTTGTAATGTTGTTTTCTAAAAGGAAATGGCTTCACCCTCCTATGTTAAATTGATAATTATTGTTTGTTTGTCCATTATTTCAGATTCATGTCCCAATTTTCAACCTCACTTTGCAGCACTTCTATCTGGCGGTCTTTAACATGGAAGCGAAAGAAATTGAAATCTGGGACTCATTACGAGGAACTCATAATGAAGAATATGATGCAAGGATGTAGAAACTGGTTTGCTTCTTGTTCTTCAAGTTTTCAAGCTTTACGTATTGCTTAGTTGTTAGTTGTTTTTCATTTGCCGACTTTGTCGTTATATATCGATGAGGGGGATGTTTTCATTTGCAGAAATTGGGTCTAGATTGGTTGCTTAAGGATGATATCTGCGGGGCGTTTTCATTTGTGGACTTCGTGGTTAGATATCGCCAGGATGTTGCTTGCCAACCAAATGGGTACCCTTTGTTGTTGTTCAATCGTGCACTGTTCTAATTAAGTTCGATAATTATTTGTTCGCATCATGACCATGGTAATTATTTGTTATATTACAGATTTGATTGTGGACTATTTGTCATCAATTACTTGCTGGATCCAGATCGATATTCGAAGAAGCTTGACCAGTTCCACAGTGACTATGAGCGGGCACAACTTACAATGTACTTGCTCACTACGGATCTGAATGAGGTGAAAGCTACAGTTAAGACACAATCAGATGAATATTTTGAGAGACATGCAAGACCTGCGCAAATCGAGACTGAGAAGGTGAATTTTAAGACAAACTTACTCAATCGAGGAAGAAAACCGTTGCACGCGCATGGGGAGAAAAAGGGTAGAAAGTCTAAGAACCATTGAGACTTGTGATGTTAATGTAGAGTTTAGTTAATGTGGATGTTGATTGAAGTTTAGGATAATGTAGATGTTGAATGAATTTTAGTGAATGTAGATGTTGAATGAAGTTTAGGAAACTGTTGAAATTACAATGAAGTTATGAATGAAGCATTATTCAGTGATGTTATTTTTTCTCTATATTATGTTTAATGTGTCGACAAGGAAAAAATTATGCATGATCATATACCGAAAAATGGTTGAAAATGGACTTGAAAGCAGGCGTGTTTTTGGATTTGTAATTCTGGAAATATCACGGCTGTGAGATAGGCCGTGAGAGAGACCGTGAGATTTTTTACATCAAAAGGTGGAGTTCCAGAGAGTTCCACGGTTGGCGTCATCATTTTCACGGCCGTGAGATGAGCCGTGTTTTGGATATGAATGATGGACATCTCACGGCCACTCTGTAAATTCTCATGGCGCGTGAGACTTGGCCGTGAGCTGGGATTTTATAACGGCTTAATGATGGTAATTTTACGCCCGTGAGACTGGGCCTTGAGATTCAAAAAATCATTCCCTATGTTCAGAGAACCTCACGGTCTTGAAAGGACCATCTCACACCCGTGAGATTGTGGGCTCGCTTGTTAGTGAAAAAAAAGGACATCAAGAAGGTTCGAACCAGAGCACTTGGCATAATAATTCAGCGTATTAACCAGTCAGACTACTTAACATATTTGCTAAAATTCATTGTTCGTTTGCTTTTTACTACGTATGGTTGAATGAGCGTGTGATTATCGGTTTTGGGTTGAACCCCATGTAATTGTGAACCGATGTGAGATTGAGGTTATGTATATGGTTTAGCGAGCGTTTGATTATCGGTTTTGGGTTGAACCCCATGTAATTGTGAACCGATGTGAGATTGAGGTTATGTATATGGTTGAATGAGCGTTTGATTATCGGTTTTGGGTTGAACCCCATGTAATTGTGAACCGATGTGAGATTGAGGTTATGTATATGGTTTAGTGAGCGTTTGATTATCGGTTTTGGGTTGAACCCCATGTAATTGTGAACCGATGTGAGATTGAGGTTATGTATATGGTTTAGGGAGCGTTTGATTATCGGTTTTGGGTTGAACCCCATGTAATTGTGAACCGATGTGAGATTGAGGTTATGTATATGGTTTAGTGAGCGTTTGATTATCGGTTTTGGGTTGAACCCCATGTAATTGTGAACCGATGTGAGATTGAGGTTATGTATATGGTTGAATGAGCGTTTGATTATCGGTTTTGGGTTGAACCCCATGTAATTGTGAACCGATGTGAGATTGAGGTTATGTATATGGTTTAGTGAGCGTTTGATTATCGGTTTTGGGTTGAACCCCATGTAATTGTGAACCGATGTGAGATTGAGGTTATGTATATGGTTTAGCGAGCGTTTGATTATCGGTTTTGGGTTGAACCCCATGTAATTGTGAACCAATGTGAGATTGAGGTTATGTATATGGTTGAATGAGCGTTTGATTATCGGTTTTGGGTTGAACCCCATGTAATTGTGAACCGATGTGAGATTGAGGTTATGTATATGGTTTAGTGAGCGTTTGATTATCGGTTTTGGGTTGAACCCCATGTAATTGGGAACCGATGTGAGATTGAGGTTATGTATATGGTTTAGTGAGCGTTTGATTATCGGTTTTGGGTTGAACCCCATGTAATTGTGAACCGATGTGAGATTGAGGTTATGTATATGGTTTAGTGAGCGTTTGATTATCGGTTTTGGGTTGAACCCCATGTAATTGTGAACCGATGTGAGATTGAGGTTATGTATATGGTTTAGCGAGCGTCTGATTATCGGTTTTGGGTTGAACCCCATGTAATTGTGAACCGATGTGAGATTGAGGTTATGTATATGGTTGAATGAGCGTTTGATTATCGGTTTTGGGTTGAACCCCATGTAATTGTGAACCGATGTGAGATTGAGGTTATGTATATGGTTTAGTGAGCGTTTGATTATCGGTTTTGGGTTGAACCCCATGTAATTGTGAACCGATGTGAGATTGAGGTTATGTATATGGTTTAGCGAGCGTTTGATTATCGGTTTTGGGTTGAACCCCATGTAATTGTGAACCGATGTGAGATTGAGGTTATGTATATGGTTGAATGAGCGTTTGATTATCGGTTTTGGGTTGAACCCCATGTAATTGTGAACCGATGTAGATTGAGGTAATTGATATATGGGTTGATTTTCGTTTGATTATGGTTTTGGGTTAACCCATCTAATTATAACCGATGATTTTTTTGGGTTGGTCATAATGAAGAAATTCCTAGATCCTAAACCCTCACCGTCTTAAGTCGTAACAGTGATGCCGTTTCTTCCTTCTCGTCCTCCGTCAGCGCCAGAGGACTGATCCTCGGTTCCTCCCTGTCGGCTTCTTCCTTCCAGCTTCCCTCTCTCCCAACCTCAGTTCTTCCTTCGTCTTCCCTTCTCTACCCATCCTTCGCGACGAATCGGTAAGTTGGATTGTTTATCTATTCGATTATCTGTTTCTTCATAACGAACACTCACAATCCCAGCAGCCAGAACCTAATTTCTCCACAGCCGACGAACTCCTTCTCTCTGCTTTCTCACCACCCCGTATTCCTACGGATTTCGTCCACCAGCCAGGCGGACATCACCGTGTAGAGTTCGTTCCCCACGGCTCAGCCTCGGTACCGCTCACGGCTGTGCCGGCTCCAGAGTAGACAACCACTGCTCCGCCTGGTCTCCACCGCTGCCGGCTCCAGAATCTGGGCCACTGCTGCCGCCGGGAATTTTAAGGTTCAGGGTTTGTAAGTTGCTAGATTGCTAGATTCGAATTCATGGTGATCTATGGGTTTGTGGAGCTATTTGGTCCTGTTTGTCTTGGAACATTCACGTTGGCCTTTCATTGTAAATTGTAAGATTACATGGTGATCTATGGGTTTGTGGAGCTATTTGGAGCTATTTGATGAAACTTCATTTGTTAAGTGTGTAGAGAGCTTCTTTGTTTGAAGTTGGATTTGGTTGTCTTCTTTGTTCAATTTGGTGGGTGTTGTGAATTGTGATCTTGCTTGGCTTCATTTCATTTGTGAATGGTTGGTTTGTCGCGGAAGTGAAGGGGAAACTATCGAGTTGATATGTGGATTACAGTTACCAGCCAGCCCTTCATTTCAATTGTCTCGTGTTTGCCTCGTGTTTGTTAATTGATTAGTGAAGTGTTTGATTCGGTCGGTTGTGGGTGGTGAATATGTCGATTTCAATTGTCTCTAAACTTCATTTTGTTGCTTGTTTTCAGTTGATCAACTATGGAAGGGTTGATGGATGATATGAGCACAGGCAAGGACACGGGAATTGACTTGAATGTTGGTTTAGATTGGGGAATGGATTATGGAGATGATACCGGTGGTGTTAGAGATAGTGACGATATGGAGGACAATGTCGACACCAGCGATAGTGATTCTGAGGATGATAATAACACTAACATTGGTGATGATGATAAAGAGAATATCTCAGATGAGCATTTGCACAGCTTCGAAACACAGCCACACAACTCAGAGAACATCAAAGATGCTGCAAATCCAGCCATGGTTCCATCGTACTCGAGTATGTATGACTGGACTTTGCTTGATAAAGTCGGGAATGGTAAGCCTTATTCTAAATGGGAGTCGGATGATGTTGTGGGTTATGATTTTGAAACCCTTGTGGAGGCTGGCAAGTTCTATTCAACTTATGGTTGTGCCATGGGGTTCGGCGTACGAAAGAACACTCACACATATTCTAAATATGGAGTTAAAAATATGCAGCGATGGGTTTGCTCACGCGAGGGGGAGCGTCTTCCAGTCCACAATGACAAGGAGAACAGAAAGCGTGAACCTAGGCCTGTAACAAGGCTCCATTGTCCGGCTGCTTTCAAAGTCAGTTTTGT